CTGCTCTCCTTGCGGGAAATTGCCTTCCCAGAGTGAGTTAGGAGGATCCTGGGACTCAAATTCTCTCATCTCCTACACTGGATCTTTCCTGGCTGGCAGTTTTACAAGACACTCTGTGCCAGGGGCAGGAGTCCTTGCTGGGGTGTGCAGCTGAGGAGTGAAAGGAAGGGGCTGTGTATCTGCTCAGTCCTGAAAGAAAAATACATTTTCATGCCAAAAATACATTTTCATGCCACCACTCCAGCAGCACAGCGGGTAAAAGCTGGTGCTGCTCTGCTGGAGATGGCAGTGTCTGGGGTGGAAGGGTTGTGCCAACCTGTCCTTGCCTGTGCCTGAAGGCAAAAGCAGGATTCCAGGTACCAGCATTTCCAGATCCATCCTCTTTTGCCAGGGGACTTTATTCCCAACTCTTCCTGGATGCCTGGGCATCTGTATGCTCCCCAAGGCAGGCAGAGGCTGATGGCGGGAACCAGCCAGTGTGAAGAACCAGCCCTCTGAGCCTGGCCATCCCTCTGCCTCCCTGGGGACACTGGTCACCTTCTGGGGCTGGGAATTTGGGTGGCTGTTCAAAGCAGCCTCGGGGCCAGCCAGGGAAAGCAAAGCCTTGTGACTCAGTGAAGAGATCCTCTAGTCTGAGCTCCTGGGTTTCCTTTCCCTTTGTCTCTTTAGGCTGTTGATGATGTCAAGAAAGGCTACATCAAAGCAGAGGAGAAGTCCTACCAGTTACAGAAGCTGTGTGAGCAGAGAAAGATGGTCATGGTGAGTTATCCCACCCATCCTGGTTTGCTTTCCTTCCTCATTGCAGTGCTGTGTCTGGAAAGGAGACACTGGCCCAGGTTGGCCAGAGAAGCTGTGGCTGCTCCTCCCTGGAAGTGTTTGTGGCCAGGCTGGATGAGGCTTTGAGCAACCTGGTCTAGTGGAAGGTGTCCCTGCTGATGGCAGGGGGGGTTGGAACTGGATGATCTTCCAACCCAAACCATTTTACACACACAATCTTGAAGAACACATCTTTCTTGGAAAGCAATAACCATGGAGAACTGTGGGTGTGTGGGTTTAAGGCAGGAGGGGTTGGCAGGGTGTGCAGACACAGAGGAACACCAGGCACAGGGCTGGGCTCTGCCTGAGGGTCGGCTGCTGCACAAACCAAAACCTCCCCTCGTGCTGGGCACGTTTGAACAGCAGCTTGTCCTTGGCAGGATCACCCCTTGACTCAGCTCCAAACAAGGCAGCGATAAAACCTTGTGGGTTATTGCTGGTGTTGAAAGGTGAGGTGCTTAATGTGTGGTGGAGCAATCCTTCACCTGCAGCCCTTCGGGGACGGCTGCTCCTTCCTGTAATCGAGAGGGAAAGGTCTCATTCTGCCTCAGACTGCCTCTGAGATGGTGGTGCTGGGCTAGCAAGGGAGGGGTGGCTCCTGGCCCACAGAATCACAGGATGTCAGGGATTGGAAGGGACCTCCAAAGATCATCCAGTCCAACCCCCCTGCCAGAGCAGGAACCTCAATGAGATCACACAGGAAGGCGTCCAGGCGGGTCTTGAATATCTCCAGAGAAGGAGACTCCACACCCTCCCTGGGCAGCCTGTCCCAGGGCTCTGGCACCCTCACTGGAAAGAAGTTTCTTCTCAAGTTGAAGCAGAACCTCCTGTGTTCCAGCTCACACCCATTGCCCCTTGTCCTACCATTGGGCATCACTGAGAAGAGCCTGGCTCCATCCTCCTGACATTCACCTTTACATATTTATAAACATTAATGAGGTCACCCCTCAACGTAATGCCCACACATAATACCAGTTGCTGCCCACTCGGTGCTGTAGTTTCTGGGGTTTGGTGTTTTTTATCTGGCAGAATCTTCCCAGGTGGCAAATCCTGTGTCAGAGCTCCCTGGCTGCTCAGGGATTTTCTGCCTCTTACCTCTCTGCCCAGCACACGCTTGGGGGCTCGGTGTGACTCGATGATCCTGCCTGGCTTGGATATAGGGGAGTGCAGGGGATGCCCTGAGCTCATCTGCCAGACACAAGCTTGGCTTGAAGATCAAACAGCAGAAGAATCTGACTTGTAAATAACTTCCTGGGTTGCTCGGGGCTGCTGGTGCCGAGTGAACACAGGCTGCCCTTTCCCTGACTCGCTGCGCCCCACCTGCGCGCTCCTGGCCAGCTTGGCTGCTTTGGAAGCCCAATGGCCATGGGATCCCCTTCTCCAGCTTGGCTGGTCTTAGTCAGACCCCTCCTGAAAGCCAGTTTGACTGTGGTAGCTCTGAAGGGTCCCTTGGGGTGGACTCCAGAAGTGTCACCTGAATTGCTAAGCCAGGAAGGTGAATTATTAACTGATGATAAGGATCGGTAAATAGACGCTTCCTCCTGTGAGTTATCTCGTGGCTCTTTTGTTTCTGCTCCTCTCACCGGCTTTCTAATGACTGAAGGAAGATGTGAATCTTTGGAAAGGGTCTATCCCAGCATGTATATATACACACACACACGTGTACAGTGATACCAGCACCAGGCACAGCAGGGCCCTGGGTTAGGAGGGCAAGACGACAATGGTTGAGTCCCAAAGAGCCTGTGAAATCAAAGTCCCTCATCCTCTGCCTCTCCCCAGGTTGTTCAGGGTCCTGCCCGGAGCACAACGCTTGAGGATTTGTCCCCTTCATCCTATCTTGGTTAAAAAGTCACTTCTCACTTGGGTGTCGTTTGCTTTGTGTAAACCTTCCTTGTGCAATGAGAGGTCGTGGGGATTGGGAGCTCCTGGGCTTCTCCCAGGTCCTGAGCTGTGACTCTGAGCTCCTGGTGCTTCTCCAGTGTCCTCACAGTGCTGCTTTCTCTGGGCTCAGGAAGAACTAAATAAACAAAATACTTCTTTGGAGCTTTTCATGAGTTGGAGCATTTGTGTGGAGGGACTTTCAGAAACCCAGATAGATCCCACGTCTGCCCCACAGCCTCTTCCTCTGGTCTCATCTCCAGCCTGGCTCTAGCACGAGCGGTGCTGTCAGTCCCAGGGCCACTTTAGCTGTTGGCTCAGACCCTTCCTGGGGGAGCACAGTCACACTGGGGGGCAACTCAGACTCCACCAGCTCTCCTGGCAAAGGGCTTTTGGTGTTTGAGGCTGCGAGGAGCTGTGTGTGTGTCTGCACCTGGATGGATCCATCTTTTGGAGAGGGGAATTGAGCAGCTGGAGGGGGTCTCCTTCCTCCCCCTCGCACATCCCTGCTGCCCTGGGGGGGGTTTTGTTTTCCTTTGGAGGTGATCCAGCCTCCCTGGGCTGGAGGGCAAAGCCCAGGGATTTCCAAGGAGGTGATTGGCACTGGGATGTGCGAGAGGTGGTGGCAGTGTGGGCTGGAGGGGGACACAGGGGTCCCCGTCCCTCCGTCCCGGCGCGCTAACGCCCGCAGCTTTCTCTCCGCAGTATTTAAACATGTTACGGACGTGCGAGGGGTACAACGAGATCATCTTCCCCCACTGCTCCTGCGACTCCCGGCGGAAGGGCCATGTCATCACAGCCATCAGCATCAAGCACTTTAAACTCCACGCCTGCACAGAGGAGGGGCAGCTGGAGGTACGGGGCTTTCTGCTGTCAGGTCGTGGGGAGAGGGGCTCAGCCCCCAACCTCCACCTCGGCTGTGCATCAGCACCGTGTCCCCGCAGCTCTGGGGCTCTCTGAAGGGGTCTGGGCAGTGGTTGGGGGCACAGGGGTTTATCTGGCTGCTCTGGGGGTGTTTCCACTGCTGCTTCCTCAGCTCATACTTATTGCTGTGGTGAGACTGTCCAGAGCGTCCTCATTTCCCCCTTTGTCTGACTTCACTTTTGCCACCTGATCTGCCTTAAAATTCCCCTTCCTCACAGTCTTTGGGGTTCTGCCCTCACCTGGATTTCACCTTCCTTCAGAACCAGGTAATAGCATTCGAATGGGACGAGATGCAGCGGTGGGACACGGACGAAGAGGGAATGGCGTTCTGCTTCGAATACGCGCGAGGAGAGAAGAAACCCCGATGGGTTAAAATCTTCACCCCCTATGTAAGCACCCCCCCCCCTTTACAGATTTTCCAAGGGAAAAGCCCAAACCCTGCTTGTTTTCCTTCTAGAAGCTGAAGGAACACCCTGTTCTTCAGGTTTTGGGGTGGGAGGAGACACACAGGGGTTGGTGGCCACCAGGAGGAGCCCGCAGCACGGGGAGAGCTGGGCGGGTAACCAGTACCAGAGCTGGACTGGAAACCAGAGCTGCTGTCTGAGGCTTTGAGAGATCCCTCCTTTCTCTTTACAGTTCAACTACATGCACGAGTGCTTCGAGCGAGTTTTCTGCGAGCTCAAGTGGAGGAAGGAGGTAAGAACCTGTCACTGCAGGGAAGGAACTGCTTCACCTTTCACAGGAGGCTTTTAACCACCAGTGCTTCTGCCTGGTCCTCAGCAGCAGCTTGTATGGGGAATAATGGGGAGCTTAGAGGAATGATACTGGGTCTCCAGGGAGCACAGAGGTGGACTGGCTGGCTTTCAAAGACCTGGGCTCTGTAGGTAGAGGGTGTTTGTTGTTGCAGTTGGAACAAGGAGCTGGGAAAGCCTGGTACTGGTATGACTGACCAGCATAACCAGTTCCCAGGCTGTGTGACCCCGGCATCTGCTGTCGAATGCAGATGGCAAAATGTCCATCCTCTGGAGAGATCCTGCTGGTTGCTGAATAGTTCAGAAAGGGTTGTGAGAGCCTCCAGTGAAAAGCTGCTGCGAGTACAGAGAGGTTTTTGGGGTGGGTTGTTTTTTTTCCCCCCCTGAATCCCAACCTGAGGTGCCTGCTCAGCCTTGTCCTGTCCAAGCTGCGCTTAGACCTGGCTCTGCACCCTGGGTGGGGGGCTGCATGCGAGCCAGCCCACCCTGCCTTCTCCCTCCCTGCTGCTGTGCTTCCCTCTCCTCTCCCCCCACCTGAAGGAGACTTTTCTCACCTTCCATCCATCTGCTGCTCCTCCTTGGGGTTGCCCCACATGTGTCTTTCCCCAGGGGTTGCTCCCATCAGCTTTGCTTGTGGGGAAGAGGCAGAGAGCAGCTAGAAGAGCTGCGTGCTGTCAGCTTGCTCAGCTGGCCCGTGTTCGCCCTGTTTGGCTACCAACTCACCATCCCCTGTCTCTGCTGTCCCAGAGATGTTGCTCTCCCTTGTGGGGGTCAGAGATGAGCGACTGTTGGAGGTTACACCCTCTCTTCTCACCCTCGATCTGCCCTGTGCTGTTGGCATCAGCCCTCCTCTTTCCTTGTCTCTGCCAGCTGATGGATTTGGAGACTTCAAACAAGGTGTAAACATGTCAAATCTTGAAATGGTGATTCAAGAAAAAAAATCTGCTCTGCAGCTGCTTGATCGTGGAGGCTCCTAAATGGGATGGATGCCTCCCTCTTTCCTTACCTGGAAGCTTCCTGGCTGCTGGGCATCAGCCTGGGGCAGGGGTGTGGGAGCTCATCCTCAGCCTGGCTGGGATCCAGGCTTGGCACCGCGCTGGGTGTGGGAGGCGCCTTGGAGAAGGTGCAGAGGGAGCGCAGGGTCTGGACCGCACGGCCGTGCTCACCCGAGGATGTCACAGCAGGATGGATGGAGGAGCCTCAACCTGGAAGAGTTTTCCAGGAAATAAGAAAATAGGATTCTTGGCTCTCTTTAGCTTGAAGGGGTGGAAGCTGAACCTCCCACGAGTGACCAGAGACCTGCAGGCAGGGGCGAGGAGATCTCCTGACGCTGAGCTGTGCTCCAGAGCCCGCCGAGTCCCAGATGAGCCTGTTGATCTGGTGGATGATGGCAGGAGCATCAGTCAGGAGCCACCCCAGAGCCCAGACCCGCTTTGTCCCAGCCCTGAGCCTTGTAGGAGGGAGGACGAGCAGCTCGACAGCGTCTGGCTACACCCTTGGGCTTTGTAAAGCATCGAATGCCGTGCAGAGCTGAGGAACTTGGCTCTGGGGTTTGTCCCCCAGCTGGGGGTGACATCTCTGTCCCTCCTGGGAACACAATCTTTGTGGCTCTTGCTTCATCAAATAGAAGCTGCCTGAGTGGGTTGTCTGGCTGATTCTCCGAATCCCAGCTCCTCAGATCCCATCCCCATGCTCTCCCAGCCGCTCCGACACCAGCTCTTCTGTCTCCTCCTGTGTCCCCCGCTTTGACTCAGCCGTTTTATTTATACCCTTCTTTATTTTTTTCCCTTGTAAAGGTGGAGGAGGAAGCAACAGACAAGGATAACAAGAACTGCAGTAAAGACAATATGTGCAGCAAGGTAATTGGGCTGAAAACACCCAGCATCTGCGCTCTCTGAGCCGGGCTGGCTGCTCTGCTGCGGACGTAGTGTCTCTCCTGCTTCTCTGCTCCGGTTCCTCTTAGCGTAGGTCAGTGTCCTTTCACAGAGGCTTCTCCTCCTGGGGGGGAACCCCCCCAAATTAAATACCTGCTGCTGCTTTTCTTGGGGTAGAGGTGGCTTTGTGCTTACAGGCCTCTTTCCTGATGGTACAAACACTTGGTCCTTATTTTCCCATCTCCTGAAACTCTGCTGATCTTTGGATGACCCAGAACGTGACGCTGCGGCCGAGGGTTGAGATCTTGAGCCACTTTGGCTCTGCACTTCTTTTCAAGGACCAAAGACTCAGTGCTACAACAAGCCACGGGCTCATGGCATGTGGTTTTTCTCTGTTATTGTTCTGTAGTGGTGGAGCAAAGACCTTTAGGGATTGACACAAGCCGGTGGCAGCGCCGCTCGAATAGCAGGGAGCAAAACCACTTGGGTTGTGGCACCTTCTAAACGCGCCTCTCTCCTCCTGCCCTGGTTCCACACTCAGCACAGGCAGGATTTAAAGCTAAACACTGAATCCCAGCATTGCCTGGATTGGAAAAGCCCTTTAAGATCATCAAATCCAACCATGAACCCAACACTGACAAGTCCACCACTAACCCACATCCCTCAGCACCACATCTACAGGGCTTTGAGATCCCCCCAGGGATGGGAACTCCACCACTGCCCTGGGCAACCCCTTCCAATGCCTCAGAACCCTTTCAGCAAAGAAATTCTTCCTCACATCCCATCTCAACTGCCCTGGGCACAACTTGAGTCCATTTCCTCTTGTCCTATCACTTGTCCCAACAAATTACTTCAAGATGCAGTGAGAAGCATCCATGACTGTGCCCATCTCTAGGATATTCCCCTCGTAGGCTTTGATCCCGGCATCGTCGGCGCAGCCAGGGCTGGCTCGGGATGTTCTGCCACCTCCCAGCACTTTCCCCTCCCTACTCCCACTTCAAATGTTCCTTCCTTTGCTCAGAGATCAGCAGTGGCTGCAGGTTATTGAACTGATAAAAAAAGAGAGAGAGAAAGTGGGGTTGTGTGTGTGTGTGTGTGTGTGTGTGTGTGTGTGTGTGAGTGAGGCTGGAAGCTGTTAACCCCAGAGGTACCAGTCGGTGCTTCTCTGGGGTAGGAGTTGGGTTGTGTTGGCTCTAGAAAGCGTTGGACATCAAAGAAGGTGAGAGCTCGTCTGAGTGAACCGAAAAGCTGTAGCAGACGGTGTGGGATGTGTCACCCGTTCAGGAAAGAGCCGTGAAAGGCGGGGGTGTGGGAGCCTCCCCCCCCTCACCCCCCGTAAAGCTTCCTCTGCCAAACAGATCCTGCACGATAACGCTCCCCGGGGTAAACCCTCGACTCCCAAAACCCCGAGAGCAGAGTCAGGCGTGTGTTCTCCATCACCCCTTCAAACAGTGTTTGATGTCTGATCTACAAAGCCCAGAGCCACCCCCGAGGGATTCGCTGGTGCTGCTGGC